GTTTTAGGGCTTCAGCTTCCACGATTCCGCCTAAGGGAATTCCTGGTAAATTCCGAATGTTGCAGTCCAAAAGAAAGGAATGTCCTGTCCCTAATATGTTATTTAACTATTTAGGTGACTACATTAGGCCAATGACCTTTGCTTATTAAAAATCCAAGTTTACATAAAAAATATTTTTGTATTTCAAGTTAAATCTTTTATACTTACTTCATTTCCTTTTTTTAAACAGTTACTCTTTCTTTAACATTGGCATTTTATTTTCCTCATAAGAAAAATGTTTGTCATTATCAGCTTAACAAAACACAACGCGTATCAGATGTAGAAAAAGATATGACTGAGGAAATTAAATATTTCTAAACTCTACACAAATGAAGTTGACCCACAAGGCAGAAACAAATGTTTAAAACTGACAGAGGATAAATTACAAGGTATTATAGCTGTATGTTATCTTCCGGTATCAGAGGCAATAGGCTTCACAATAACCGTTGCTGGAGATCATGACTGGGAGCTCCTGTTACTCTGATCTCTTGCTTATGGGGTTTCCTTGGTTATCTGGTTTAGAATGGTTTCCAAGGGCAGAACAGAATGTTTTAATAGATAGGGCTTTGGTGTCATTCAGCAGAGCTCTGCTGCTGTTCTAATACAACTTGAGATCTGGACTAGAGCATGTTGGTAGAGCAACATGCTTCATATGCAGAAGATGTTGAGCCAGATCTCCAGGTTATGATCACTCCTGTCTAAAATTCTGAAGAGGTGCTGCCAGTATTCAGTATTAACAGTAATGGGCTAAATCATTATTTCTCCCAAGGGGATTGCAAGGTGTTTTCTGGGGAGGTCATGGGTTGCCTTATATGTGTTATTGTTGTTATTTAGTCATTAAGTCGTGTCCGACTCTTCATGACCCCATGGACCAGAGTACGCCAGGCCCTCCTGTCTTCCACTGCCTCCCGGAGTTGGGTGAAATTCATGTTGGTAGCTTCGATGACACTGTCCAACCATCTCGTCCTCTGTTGTCCTCTTCTCCTCTTGCCTTCACACTTTCCCAACATCAGGGACTTTTCCAGGGAGTCTTCTCTTCTCATGAGATGGCCTAAGTATTGGAGCGTCAGCTGTGTTGTATGTGTTGTAGCCCTTGTTAAATAATTTCTTCATTTACCTTTTGGAGTCAAGATACTAAAGTTAGCGTGTATGTGTACGTTTGAGAAACGTGCCCTTTTTGAAAAAAGCCTCTAGTTTCTTAGAAGGGATAACGTTACCCTTTTAAAATGCTTTTTTATGTAAACATGTAGACTGTGCATGTTTCACAGGTTACTTGGATATTAAAATGTGTGTGTGTGTTGTAATATAGTATGGTTTGGGCCCAGATGAATAACAGTCTGTAGACAGCACTTCACAATAGCCAAATAAGGTTTGATTAGAAACCCATAGACACCAGATTGTGTAACTGACACTCAATGAAAGCTGTAGAACCAAAAAATTGAAGCAGGAAAGATTAATGGCCTGGTTACTAATAAAGAGGGTTAGACCCTGTGTTTAATCATTTCTCCTGTTTCCTTTTTTTTGATCAAAGTGTACCCTGTCCTTGCCTGCTGTCTGAAGAAAATACTCAAATTTTAGCACTTGGTTTGTTTGTGAAAGGATATGAGAGAGGAGGAAAATGAAATTGATGTGGATTTCTCCATAGAAAACAAAATACTTTTTAATAGAAACAAAATGAAAAATATAAGATTTCCAAATCAAGGATCTGCAGCGCTAGCAGCTGCCTAAGAATTGCAGACACTAATGCTGGATCTGGCCCCAGTTTCTACATATTGTCTGGCTTGCTTGTGCCCCTACCTCTGTTCTACATTCTGCTTAGATGGAGCTGTAACTCACGGATTGATGGAAGGAATGAGCTTGGAAATGGTACTTTTTTGGGGCTGCAATTCACAGGACTACTGTGACTAGTGACTATACTGGCTTGGTAGGAGTTAAGGCTGGGAGCTGTAGTGTCATTTCGCCTTCGTCATGTTGGCTGTATAGGTACAGGAAGATTTTGCTAAAACCCATTTGTTCTAATAGGAGGATGTTTAACCAACCTTAAACATTTAATCACTTGTACTTACACTTTGGATAAAATTTCAATGCCAGTGTCTCTTACTTTTAAAAAAAGTGTGAAGCTTATTATATGTCTCTGTGTCTTGCTTTTTTCATTTGTGTGGCTTCCATTTTCGGAAGCACATGTGCACAGCTGCTGTGATGCTTCTTGAATACTGCCATTGTGGATCACTTGGCAACAACTGAACTGTAAGCTCAGTAGGCTCTTCAAACCTGGTTTTCATATTGCAAACAGAGAATCTGGCATATTGCTTTCTGAACCAGCTGGTCAGCTTTTAAGTGGAAAGTGTGGATTTTTGTTACAGGTGTTCTGGTTGAGGTTGTTGTTCATTTGTGCAAAAATGTAAAGGTAACAAAAATACATATCTAAAAAGTACATTTTTAAAAAAATGTCAGCGAATATACTTCTTGGTATGCATGATATAGCAGACTGATGCCACTCCTTTTTCTTCTTCAGGAAATAAAGTAGTTAATAATCTGTGAATGATAGTTTTCAATGCTTCAGAAACTATAGGCCTTGAACTTCATTTCAAGAAAATGAAAAAAGTTCTCCCTATTTTTCTGGATAAAAAATTTGCTCTTTCCTATGTGAAAACTGAGATGAAATATATTGCCTTTCTGAGGGAAAGAGGACAGCTCAGACGTTCAAGTAGCTAACACCACTCTGGATCCTTCCTTTTCTAGACTATATTACTTTCATCTTAAGTGCTGGGGATTGGTGGTGGCTGTTTATAGGGGCTTGCCTGGAAGGATTCTTAACAGTCACAAGTTCTTCTTGTGGCAGAATTACTAAAGTAAATAATGTAGCAAGAAGATCGTATGGAGAATTTGAAGAGTCTGAAATAGGAGTTGATGAAAAGGACAGGAGGTAACCAGAAATGGTGGGGAGAAGCCAAGTATGTTTGCTCACGTACCTTGAAATTAATGGTTTGAGCAAGAAATCATAAAGAACAAACCATTCCGTATTGTTTCACGCAGATGTGCCCATTGTTGTTGGTCACCATGGATGCAGAAGTAAAGGATTAAATAAAATGTTTGCAGACAATTATTTCCAAGATAAACAGTAGTTATAAAAATATATTTAAAGGTCACAGCAATGCTGGATATGGTTTGGATGCAGTGTTTCACAATATGATTCTTTGCTTTTAATATTACACATTTAGAAGCAATTATTTGACCATATAATACAACTTAAAGCTGCTTTGTAAAACACCCAAACTACGTTGTATATAATGATACAAAATACCACTGTTATCATCCAGGGAAAGCATATCAAAATTAGGGAAGTTATCCATGATACCAAAATAGAATTATGCTTTTATAAAATACAGCTGCTTAATTGTATAGTAAAGTAGTCACTTGACTATTTTTAGTGTAGATCCCATTATTCCCCTATAAATTATTCTGGCATTTTCTTTCTTCTCCTCCCAGTGTAACAGGCACAGATGAATAGTTCAGAGTGTTGAACTGAGCCTTGGGAGATCCAGATTACAGTACCTACTAAGATATGAAATTCACTGAGTAACCTTGCAGCAACCACTGTTTCATAATCTGGTCTACCTCACTGGGTTTTGTGAAGATAAAGTAAGGAGGAAGACAGCCACAGAGGCCAATTTGAACTTACTGAAGAAACGGGTTTTTGGTAAAACAAACAATACAATAAATAATTCTGAGCTTAAGAGGATGTGATCTGTCTTCCCATATTTTGATGGTTATTGTGCATCTAGAATTTGCACCTATTCCCCATAGAGAGACATACAAGCTGTACTCTCATTTAGAGAGAATGGTATGAGGACTGCCATGGTTTGGGAGAATATGCTTCTCATTACATGGAATTTGCACTGTTTCACATGATATCTCAAACCATGGATCTGGTCACATGGTGTGAATCAGTCACAATGGAGGAGTAGTGATTGTATCAAGGTGCAGGTTGCTATTCACATAGATCACTCTTCAGGTATATAGTCATTGGTCCTTCATAATGTGAAGCTATGTTTTGGCATTATGTGCATCTTCCCTTCACCTCTGCGTTCACCTGGAATCTTCTAATTCTGGTTGATGGCATCTGTGTTAGAATTGATAATATCTGAATCCAGACAGAACTCTGCTTTGTGAAAACTGGCACACCCAAATTATATCATTTGTCAGAATTGGATTTATTGAGAAATATGATTAGCCATTAACTGCTCTTAAATGCTTCTGATTATAGTATGGGAAATGGAAAGAAAGAACTTGGTCCAAAAATTCTATATGCAATAATTGTTCAATGAATCTTATGTTCAGCACTCATCTGGACACAATAGTCCTATTCAATCATTTAAAGACATGTTGTATGAATATGCCAGGAGGCTAGCATGCCCATATCTTTTTGGTACCATCCTGCCAAAAAGTGCAGCATGTCTGATGAACTATAAGTTCTAGTTCACATGAAGAATGCACTCCATGCATGAGGGAGAGGGGTAACAAGACTGAGGTCACAGGAATGAGGCTAATGCACTCTCCTTGGCATATTGAAACTCTATGGTTTAAATTACTGAATAGGGTTAGTGTCATTTCAGTGTACTGTGAATCCCCATGCCCTGCAAAAGAGTAGCAATTTGCTAGATGGGCAATATATAAATTGAATAATAAATTAATAAACAATCAAATATACCACAAACATAATATTTTCGGCTTTAGCCTTCACAGCCACCACCACTACCTCTTTCCATTTCTGTTATTAGTGATTGTTGCTGATCTCTGTATAATTGTGTATATTATGGTCCCAAGTTGTCTCCTGTCTCACATTGTCAAAGTAATCTAATACTGTACTAACTCCTTTTCTTCCCCCAAAGTGCAGGTGGTAATAACTGATTTGGTAAAGCTGTCCATTTTGATTGTCATTTATAAACATTGTCTTTCAGATTTTGACTTGAACTATTTCTGGCACTGGAGCAAGTTTACAGATTATGTGCAGTGTGTTCTGGCTTTCACTGGAGTAACAGGATACATCACTTATCTCTTTCTTGATTCGATTATCTTTGTTGAAACACTGGGCTTTCTCGCTGTGTTCATTGAAGCCATGCAGGGTATCCCACAGCTCTACCGTAACTACCAAAATAGATCAACTGAAGGAATGAGGTATGATTCTGTGCATCTATCTTGAAAGTTTCAGTTATGTATATGGCTTTATTTACACATATAATTATTCTTGCTTCAACAACAACACCAAAACTATTTCAATTTTAAAAAGGTAGATAAAATCATGATTGTAGCAGAGATCCAGCATGTTGTGAGAATCCACGATAGAGAATTGAGGTCGTCCCATTTATCTAGAGGATGAATTGCTGTTAAGGCCAGGAAAAATGAGGAAAAGTCAGGAAAATGTAATATGTGAATGTTGTATGTGGGTTAGCCCAGCTATCCCATGAGGTGGAGTGAATCTGTCACTTCAGGAAACAAATGGGATATAGTGAATTACACACCCTTCACCTGACTAGCTCTTCAGAGAAACCATCCTCTGTTTCTTTGGAAAGCCAGTTGAACCTAAATGTCTGCTGAGAGAGAGTCTTAACTTAGAACCAGGAATTGTGGATTATCTCTCAGTAGAGCAAGACAGAGGCCTTGTGACAGTGATTGGATAAGTAGCAGAGGCAATAGGATAGAGTAACATTGGCCTGAGAAAGTGTCCTCCTGCCTTAGGAAATGAGATAGCTTCTGCTGCCTCTGTCTGTGAGAGAGAGGAGGAGAGGAGTCGGAAGGCTTACAGAAATATACTTAAGTAGGAAATTCACTGAAATCTTGTTTGCATAATATGAAATTGTGGAAGTGGTAGAAAAAAAATCATGGTGGGGCGGAAGTGATATCCATGAAATATTTCTGCAAGTGTCGTACAACTGTGTAGTCTTTTGCACAACTGCAGCATGAATTATACAGTCGATTAAGTGATGCTGACTGCTTGGGCATAAGCCCGGCACACTTCCTTAAGTGTAAATTTACATTATACCAACTTGAACAGGATTTCAGCCAATGCTGTATGTTACTTAAAATGCACAGCTCTGTGTAGTTTGGAATTCTATAAAAGGGTGAGTTGATTGATCCATTATTCAATATTCCAGGGTTCTCTTTAAAAACACGCATGTATGGTTTTGAAGATAGACCTGAAATTGCCTGGGCAGTGCCTGGCATAATTTCAGAATTGTAGCTGCCAATGTGATTTTTGTGCCTTGCACTAATTTGCCCTATTCCATGAAAACAGAAGTAGAGTGGATATTATGAAAGCTCATTCTCTCTCCACAATAGTAGAAACTATATGTGTTATCAAAAATATGCTTATGTTCTTTGTGTGCTGTGCATCAACTGCAGAATTAAAATTTATTAGCCAACTCCCTGTTCCCTCTGTAAAGTGAAGGATTTATACCTAGAGAATCATGTCACTGTGAGGTGGAATAAATAAAATCAATACAAGTTTTGAAAGATAATGAACCATCTTGCACTTTACATATACATCATCAGATAAGGCTGATGGTTACTACCGAAGTCATCTTTACATTTTTTTTCCCATTCACTGTAGACTAGAAGGGTGCTTCTTGTTTTTAGACTGCAAGGTCAGGAATTTTCCACGATTTGCACAAGCAAAATTCTGGGAGGTGCAGTTCACAACAGAAATCTGCAGACCTCTAGATTTCATCCCTCTGGAGAAGAACCTTTGGATTATTTTTCTCCAGTACTGCAGCAATGCTTCCTGAGAGCTGGGGTTCTTCAGAAAGTGCTTTCTATAGAGTCTAGTGGGCAGTGAGATTATGAGTCCTAGTGTCCTTCATGCTCAGAAGTGCCCCCCCCCCACTGGTTGAACGTACGATAGTGGGGCAGGATCCAAGGCCTTCGCTTGCCAGCCTGCAGTATTTCAGGACAAAAATTTAATTGTGGGTCTCTTAGTCGAAACATGGGGTCTTCCAAGACTGATAGCTGAAGAGCCATTACCTAAGCTATGGGATAAAGATGGCTCTAAATGAAAGGGAGATAACGACCTATCAAAATTAAAATTAATTTGCATATTAACTTCATTTCCTGAGTCATTGGGCATAATATACTTGGCACCACAAGGTTTGCGTATGGAGCTTTTATTTCCTATTATCTATAAATCTCCTGGGAGATCAGAAGTGTATTATGTACAGTTGCTAATCTCTGACAATACCCCTTATATTACAAGACAAGTGGCCAAATTCTGCGCTGCAGTGATAGTTATTTGCAATCAGATGTTCGGGTTGCAATCTAAGACGGACAGTATAATGCTTTTATAACATAAACATTGGTTGTGGTTTCACTTATTTTAAAGATATAGAGTCAGCTTAGCTGGTTATGATGTTATGAATTTGAAAGAAGGGGCTGGTTTAATCATGATTTTAACTTAAAAATGTATAATTCTGCTTATTTTTATGAAATTGCAATTGTATGTATTTATTTTATATTGTTCTGGTCTTGCTGGTCTTTGACCGTAATAAAGTTACCCTGTCCATGATGGTGGGGGTAGTTGATCAGCAAATGGAGACCAGACCTTTGTGGGCATGGATCTTGTTGGGAGTCATACTGCACATTAGGCTCAATGAATTATGACTTCCATGAATTACTGTGACAATGTCAGGGGTGAATCACCCCAAAGCCCTTCTTCAGGAGGGAGCAAAATCTAGAGGTCTGCAGATTTGAGGTTGTGGATTGTATCTCCCAGAATTCTGCCTGGGGAATTAGTGGAAAATTCTGGGACTTTCAGTTCAAAAAGAGCCAACCCATACTTGTGGAAAAGGGATTAATCATAACTCAGATATGGCTTCTGTCTTTGATCTTGAAAAACATCCTGACAAATGTAATCCTCCAAGAAACGTTGCACATATCTCACATAGAATCATTCTCTGTATAATATCCAATCTGACAGGAAAAAAATCTGTCTGAATATGACGATGTTGCTTTAGCTTCCTTTTTAGAAAGGTCTTCTAATCATCACTTCTGTTTTTTGGGCAAAAGCCGAAAGCTGCTTCTGCATAAAGAAAAGCATGCATATTGTATACACACTGTTGCATGTGGTGATTTTACATGTATGTTCTGCTGCATGTGTGCTTGGCACACATGTCTAATGAACTCATAGTCAGGCACTTACATGCTGCAAAACAAATACATATGTGGCTGTCCTACCTTACTTATTTCTGTTCTTTTTCATACAATAAGTGTGTATTCTGTGCTTTTTCATACAAAGCATATAGCTCAAATGGCCATGATAAGACTTATGACCAAGTTTAACATATTTATGTTCTTGCAGTGTGCAGTTTGTGATACTTGTAGGCAGCAAACTGTATTATGTGTTTCTGGAAAAGATTTTTCTTAAAATGTTCAATTTCCTTTTCAATGTGTAGCCTGCATAATTAAACTGCAAACCACCCAGAGAGTGCTTTTAAAGAGCTAGAGGCCAGTATATAAGCAGCACACTCTACTTCCTAGGTTTCATTTTGGAATGTTTTTGCTACTCATTTGGATTTCTTTGCCAGTCAGATAGAAATTTCTGAAGTGATGCTTTGGGCCGGCTTTCTTCTGCAATGATGCCTAAGGCAGTTGCTAAAATCCAGAAGCCCCTTATCTCTGAGTGAGTTGCACATTTCTCTTATAAATGTGTATTTGCAATCACACACTGAATATGTAACACCTGAGAAATAGTAAATATTTTTTTTTCGGCCCACAGTCACATTTGTTGCAAGTTGTGATTTGAGCTTGAGCTTTCATGTGCAATGATGTCTTTAATTATGTGTTTCACCAACTAACTACTGTACTTTTTAAACGTACACTTCCTTATTCCTAATAACCTCAGTAACACCCTTTCAGTTTTCCATATGCATTATTAAATAAAAACTGTAGAACCCTGCCAGCTTGTTTTGTTATGCAGCATAATAATGGAGAGAGAGAAAATATTTTAAAATGTATGTATTGGAGAAGAAAATATTTCTCATCTGTGTAAATTATGTCAGTTGAAGAACATGGTAATAAAATCCTACTGACCTGGTAAAATGTTTGTAGCACACTAAACTGTGCACTTAAAAAAAGCTGTTCTAATATTTTCTACTTAAATAGTAGTTTTTGTGACCACAGACTGTTTGATTTGTTCTGCCAGGTGAGGGTCAGTTTCTTTCTGTACTGAATGGGATTCATGGAGAACAAGTCCTGTATTGCTAGTATTGTTGCAAAAATTTTATAATCTACATTCAGTAGTGAGATTGGTCTATAATTCTTAATTTCTGATTGATCTGTTCCTTCCTTATGTATTATTGAAATAATTGCTTCCTTCTCAGAAGACGGATTCTCTTTTTTTGTTTCCATTTCTTGTATTACTTCTTTAAAAGGTAAAGCTAGAACTTCTTCAAAATTTTTGTAGCGTTCAGCCAGGATTCCATCACTTCCTGGGGATTTCTGATTCTTTTGCTTTTTAATAGCTTCCACAATTTCACACATCATTATTGAAGAGTTCAAAGTGTCTTTGGATAGTTTCTTTAGTTGGAACTTCTGTAGATATTCTTTTTTATCTGTTAAAAATCCCCCTGGTTCTCTATATAACGCTTGAGAGAAGTCCTTGACAATTTTTAAAATTTTCTTCTGCTGCCATTTGCTCTTTCCTTCCTGGTCTTTAAGATTTGTGATTTGATTTCTTGTTTGTTCTTTTCTCAATCTATAGGAGAGCCACCTGCCTGGTTTATTTGCCTTTTCAAACAAAATTTGTTTCACTTGTTTTATCTTCATTGCCATTTTTTATGTCCACCATAGATTTATTTGATGTTGTATTAATTTCATGTTATCTACCAATGTTACAGTTGAGATATTTTGCTTTAATTGTTGTTCTACCTGGCAACCATTCCAAATAAATCATACTTGTTCAGTCTTTTTGGCTGGCAACCATTCCAAATAAATCATAGTTGTTCAGTCTTTTTGAGCAGCAGCAATTCCTCTTTACGATCATTGCTGATGTGTTTCCTCTTTGGCAGTTTGTTAACACATACCTGAATGCTCCAGACCAGAAAACTACTAAAACTTTGGCTTTTATAGAGGTGGTAACACTTGCTAATGATCAGTTATTCAAGGGCATTTGGTTAGCACACATGACT